AGGGACGGCTAGCGCAGATAGCCCTCGTGTAGCTTTGCGCGAAATTCAAAACAAACAAACAATCTTAAGAATACACTTACATCAAATAACATTTTATAAATAAGTTAACTCTCAAACAACCTGTCAACTAATCTTGACAGCTGCTTTTATGCACGTTTTCAACAATGCTGGCTTATTGTACACATTCATTACAGCACGTTTATAATATGGCAGTTTTTACACACAAGTACAACGAAAATGACAAATAACATTAAAGCCATTTATTAAGAATTTTCAAGACAATTGCTAGATTAATATTTTTATCGCTACTCTTACGGTTCTGCTCCATAACATTTTTAATGTGGCTTTGAACTTTCATAACTAACTTTTCTACGAATGCTACGTTGCTGACATTCTCCTGAAAGCTTTTTTTCTTTCTTTTCCACGGTGTAACTTTCTATAGTACGATTTAGGAATTACAAGTTTTATCAAATCTATAAGAACATTATAAGGTCAATGAAAAACAAAAGTTTAATTTCTTACCTATTTCTTTTAAAGTAACGATTCTTAATATTTTCTAATGAAGACTATAGTAACCAACTTATAATTTTGTTATTATATATATATATATTTATTTATTTATTTATATATATCGTAGGGAAAGTCTAGTATTTACTTCTATACAACATCCAACATGGTGCTACAGGAATCATTTTCACTACTGAGTTAAATCTACTGAAAATCAGTCAGTTATTTTAAAAACCAAAACCATCTAACAACCAAGACTGTTATTAGTTCATAGTTTTATTTGTTCGTGTGGTTTAGTTAGGGAGCCCTCGAGTACGTGTAGTTCAGTATTACTGAACCAAACGAAAAAGGATGGAAGGAACGTGTTATATATACATTTCTTTTTTTCATACTTTTTTTCTCTTTCTTCTTTATTTAAAATAACTCCACTAAAGTAACAAACTTGTAACCTGTTCACATGTAAATTTCTTTACCACAACTGATATAATAGTCATACATTTTACACGTGTTATAAAAGTTTCACTATCTTTTGACACACTTTTATTTACAAAAAGAATATTTTTGTTTTTACAACATTGCATTAGAATTTAATGAAATAATAAACATTCATAATCATGATCTTTACATCCTCCAGCATCAAATGTATACAGCGAATAAAACATGTAAACATAAGTATTGAGGAATCTTTTCTGTACATCTCTCTCAAATACTTGTGTCTGTTAAGATTAATGCAATATGTGGAAAATAAACTCAATGCCATTTTCTTTTTAAGTGCAAAACAAACATCTAAAAGGAATGCTCACTCAGACAAGTTAGTATTCTGTAACATGTTGTTCTAATGATTAGTTGTCCATCAGTCAAGATATCTGGGTCTAGAAAATGTAATGAACTGTTTGCAGGTGTAATATCAGTTTCTTTTAGCAAAGTTGAAAATAAACCCATAGCACTTCTGAATATATGATGCTGTGTTATTTAAGAGTATAAACTACTAATCTCAGAAATTTAAAGTGTATGTGTTATTAATTTAATACATAATGTTTTGTGAGAGGTATTAAAAATATTGAAAGTTTAAAAATAAAGTAAAAAAAAATACTGAGAATAAATACCATACTTTCCTCAGTAAAAAATTTGAAAAGCTGGCCTACAACAGTACTTAAAGCTAACAACTAGTTTATGTATTCTGTAAGATATACATTATTCTTTCTTTATTTAACATTACTTTCATTGACAGTATTGATTAAATGTTTAAATACATCTGTTTTTATTTTTTAATTATTATTATATTTTATCATGGAGATTATTTTGCATTATTAGCTTAGCATATGAATTTAGGACTAACATAAATCTCCTAAGTTGGCCAAAGCTAATGAGATACTATTGGGTTTATTGTCAAAAACATAGTTAACAGCAAATGTACCCAACTGATGAAACAAAGCTTTCTAATCTTTATAAGAACAGTATATTTAACTACTTATGCTCAGTACTAGATTGATTTTATATTTCTGATTTAATCAAAAATTGATATTAACTTCTTTGAATCTTGCTGTGTTTTGATGTCATGTATACAGATTGACAAGTTCTGCAATGTTACAATAATTTTGGTTTGTGTCAATAACTTAATAGTCTAAAATTGATATACAGAAAGATCTTTGAGGACATCACTGTTTGTTCAAAACTTTTACACTGTCCTCACAGACAAATCATATTAACAACAAGACTGCCAAAACACTAGTCAAATCATAGGTGGATTCTACCTAGACTGCATAAAAGCTAAATTATTTATCATCCCAATATCTTGATTTTTTTTAACATTAAAAATTATTTTAAAAAATAAAACATTGTTGGAAAACATTCCATGATATGCACTTAATAAAATAAAGGATTGTAGTTACATGAAAAACTACTAAGGTAGATGATATAGTACACATTTGGTTTTCAATACAGCCTTTTTTACTTTAATACCAAACTGTTTTGGTTCACTAACATACCAAAATAATGCCCAGGATCTTTTGGTTTCTGGACTATGTGTCATTAGTGAATACAGAGGAGATAAGGCTTATCAAAACCTTAATGTGTGTGTATGTATATATACACCATGGCTTGGAAGTTCTTCAACATTAAACACTTTACCAAAACTTCCTTTCAGAAATGAAGAAAGAACATGCACTAAGTTACAATTCACATGCACATTTCAGTACCAACTGACAATGAAACAAGGTACAAATATCATAAACTAAATAAACCACAATATAAATGATTCAAATATCCTCCTTACTACAAAACAATGTCCAGATGTTACTGTGTATTACAGAAGGACCATGTATTTAATGATAACCCTGAAGAAAAGTTCAGAGCACAGTACACCTTCAAGCTTTTTTTTTCTTGTTTTCTTCATCTTTGACTATACATATAAACCTACTGATAATAGGGCAGCTAACAATTAATTACTGAACTTTTCGATTTATATAAAAATTTATCCTATGCTTTTCAAATAGATTAAATCAATGCAAGCAATGTAAGTAACATTTATAAATCACTTCTTCATTTTCATCTCAAAAGGTACATCTAATTTTATTAAATTAGTTGATACTGATAGCATTACACAAAACAAGTTAATAAAATATAGTTAGCAAAATGCAACAAATATTTCTAAAACCAATGTTTTCTTTACTAAACTTAACCAGTTATTCTAATGAATTATTTGCAAGATTTAGCGTAAACTATAAGGTTCCATTTAATTTGTAAGTGAAAAAGTTTCGATTAATTTGACACATTAAACATTGCTCTGTTCCTAAGTACATAAAAAAAAAACTAAAAAATATAATCCTAATTTTTCTGATGTCTCATAATGTTAGAGTTGATGTCACGCTTGCTACTGAGCATGAATGACTGGCAGTTATGACTTGGAACACATATCAAACCAAATTTAGCCACTTTTATAAAAGTGAACTGGTAAACAGATCTGCACCTAAATGTTTTAAAGTATCTGATAAATGCTAGAAACTTCTACTTTTGCAGATATCTTTTAAACTTTTTTTATTACTACCAGCACCAAATGTTATTCAAGTAACTGCAGCATATTTTGTTTCTTGTTTGTGCATTATCCTAACACAATAAAAGGTAAAGAACTACAAGAGAAAACAGCTTTCTTATTGATACTTTAAGAAGACTAATTTATTATTCATATTTCAGTTGGTACTGATATGTATAAGTGTGTAACACTTGTGTCCTTACTTTTATACATTAAAATATACATATACACTTTGCATATCAGATTACAATAAATCAAGTGCACTAGTCAGAATACTAATATTCCAAGATGTCCTTTTACTTTTTATATCTTTTTTTTTTATGTTCCCTCTAAATAGCTAATTTTATCAAATTTTAAAGTATTAATTAAAAAATGCTCTAACGATTTCTTCCAAAACCAATCACAGCTTTCAAAATGTATGTGTATGTGTGTGTATATATATATATTTGATTTCAGAATTTTCTCTGACATGTTCTTTGATCTCTACATTTAAATTACATATTAAGATGAAACTTTAGTATTAACCATACCCTTACATTTTTACACATTCAATTCATTTTTTAATTATCAAAGCTACAAGTATGTACAATATTTTGTAAAAAATAAATATTCGCAGCTACAACTTGGGTGTTTCTTTACTAGAAATATGCAATAAGCATCTGAAATTAAAAAAACAAACAAAAACTGCTGTTTAGTGAGTAGAAAAAAAAACTTACTTCACTCATATTGCCTGTACATGGAACTGTTATTAGAAACACCATAATGTCTGAGGTTCCCAAACATTATCTAACTTGAATACTGAATCACATCATTTTTCTTTAATACATCTATGTTACATGTTTGTATTTACATAACAGAACTTGATGGAGATAGTCATCTTACTGAGTAGTAACTTGAGGGCTAGCTGGAAAGAGAAAGAGAGAGACTTAAGTTTACTTAAGTTTTCAAAGCCATCTATCATATCATTATAAGAAGTTAGATTTTTACTTAAAAATGCAGGTTTCCTGTTTTGCATTATCTTACATAAAGGATTAAATAAAAAAAGTTCCTTCTCGATACCAAAAGAACATCATTTGCTCATACAATTTTAGTAAAATGTTTATTGAAAAATCTTAAAAATTGTGAAGAGATGCACTTCATTATTAAGTAATTTGTCCCTTTAGCTCAACCAACAAATTTCAGCTTAACTAACTCACACAAAGGAGACCACACTAGAAAGATTATTCAAATTATAGCCAAAGAATTTTGAATCACAATGCACCTTACAAGCTATTATAAGAAATAAAAACATCCTGTAAAGTATATTAAACCTAGTTATCTATAATTAAAATTTTACTTGTAAATTCTGGTCAATACCCCAATAGGAAATGGTCTTTCCATGGAAAACTTGATAACTGCATTTTCAATTAATATTAAATATGATATTGTTTACACACTAATTCAAACATTTTGTGCTTTCCAAAGTATGTTTACTAAACCTGAAAGATACTGCTAAAGTCATAGGTCTCTGGAAGGTAAGGAATATGTATTCATTATTTATACAATAACCAGTAAAATTAATGTTTTAAAGTGACACTAACAAAATTAGAAGTTTAGTAGAGTTATAAATAAAATAAATTAGCAGTCTGTTTACATTGAAAATGATAAGGTTCTTTCTAAAAAAATATTTTAATTAAACTTGTCAACAACTTGGTCCTACTAGGAAAACATGATGAATATTGTAAATGAAATTCATTTGTCATACACGTGTATCACAAGTAAATAAAACTGTCTAAATGCATCATGAACTGATTTTTGACAATTTCACACAGGTTCCATTTTTTACTATATGGCCAATATACCCACTAGCTTCTAGTGTAATAAGAGCAATGAAATGTTGCAATGACCTAAATTAGTTTCCTTTCACTGATCTCTCTACATACATATAAAGAATTAAAATTTAATGACACTGGCCAGTTTGTGTGTGTGTGTGTGTGTGTGTGTGTGTGTGTGTGTGTGTGTGTGTGTGTGTGTGTGTGTGTATATATATATGTGTGTGTGTGTATAATAACTAACTAACTTACTACGTAGTTAGTTAGTGGTACTACTACTAACTACTAACTAACGTATACTACCT